TACAATCTTTCACGGATCAGAGAATCCGCCACTCAAAGATACAAGGTTTTCCAAATCCCTACCAATTGGATGCTCGATACTGAATTTGTAAGCCAGGTAATTCATTCCACAAATCCATCTTCTTTTTTTTATCGGTTATAGATTTTAGGTATAAAATCACATACGTGTAAGATAATTGAGAAATCTTTTTGACACGGTCTACCATGTAATCTAGCGTAGTAGGGGTCACAAGATGAAGAAAGTATAGCTAAGATTTCCTTTCATTTTCTATTCCCACGCCTGCATGCGCACATGTGAATTCCCAGATTCCTGATATACAATATGTTTTGTCTTCTTCACTTTTTCATTTCGGAGTTTATAGAAGTAGGGAAGCAAGTAAGATTCTATGTTGACTTTATGTTTATAGGTGTAAAGAAGCAAATAAGACTCTCTCTCTCACCCATTTTCTACATATAATATGTTTTGTCTGGAGGCTGTCCCCTGACCATTGAATTGAATTGGACTATATTGGATTGAATTAGTAGAATAATTGAACTGCAGCCAACTTCAGTACAATTAATTAATAAAATTATTACAGTATATTGCTAGTGGTAGTAGTATCCTAAGTTCATGGTATCTGAATTACAACTTTTTCTTTTCCGGTTGTTCTAGCTTGTGCAGCATAAATGTTGTGTTAGGTAGTATAATGAATATAGTAAGTGGGGATGCAAAATTGTTTAAGGCTCTTAAATCCAGAAGGGTGTAATTTATAGCACCAACAATGCTAGTTAGTTAGCTTGTTATTGTACTGACAATGGTGTATGGACATGAAAAATTCATAGATCAAGCTGGCATCCGTGAAATTGGCAATGAAGTACATGAAAAGAGTCTCTGCTGAGCTTGAAATAGTAGGAGGTGGCCCCGAAGAAGAAGAGCTGATAGTTCAAGGTGTTCGATTTGCCTTCCGCGTACATCAGGTAAAAATACTCATTACTTCAACAGCATCCTTTTACCATGTCCAGACATTTCACATTTTTTCGAGTAGTGACGTGATTATTCGCTGCAGTTTGCCGGGGGTTTTGATGCAGAAACAATGAGAGCATTCCAGGTGTTGAGAGATAAAGTCAGGTCGTGCCATGTACAATGCCAAAACCAGCAACAGCAAAAAATTGTATGCAGGTCTACACCATGCTAACAATCATCCATCTGTAGCAAGCTCAGCTTCAGAAAATTGCTCTGAGGGTTTTTGTTGTAAAGGAAGGACAGAAACATTGTATTTGTGAATACAATGGCGGTAGCGCCGCACATTCATAATTTTATTCATATTATTATTACTCTTCTTCTACGCCTGCTCGGACAGATTTTGGGTATCGATTTTAATGTTCCTACCCAGAACTAACATGTATAATATAGCTTATAAAAGAATGTAGTATGTATGCTGTATGCTACAACTTCGTGACTCTCTCCTTCAATCACGAATAAGATCAACCTTACTTTTCTTATCACGTTATCAATCTTTGTTGTTGACGCAGAAAAATGGTTCTGCACTTTCCCGCGTAACTTAGTGATTTCGTTACCTTTGGTATGCTATGGCCTCGGTAGTAAGTTATACCTGTAAGATAGCAAACGCTCGGTAAGTCCTAGGTACC